CAAAACAAGCATAGCATCAATTTCGATCCAAGTTGTTCATAGTATAAACACATGGCTGGCAGTATCAAATATTCAAAGAACTTACCTGTTACATTACGCATGTTTGTAATTAGATGAAAATGTAAAACCAATTTGTTTTTCGTGTAGATGTTTGTGAGCACTCACTATGCTGGCAAGGAGTCAACCATGTCCTTTAAAGAAGGGGAGACTTACAAAAAAGTTTTCGGCCCTGTGTTCGTCTACGTTAACTCTGCTTCAGGCGATGATGGTACACTATCCCTCTGGTCAGACGCTGTGCAGCAGGTAACACTTACCCCTAACACACCCAACTCTGCTTATTTATCAAAGGTTACTAAAGCTCTTCTGTCATCACGCATGATTTGATTTTGTTCTGTTACCAATCAGCAAGCCAAAGAAGTCAGAAGTTGGCCGTACGAATTTCCTAAATCAGTGGATTTCGTTCCACCCAGTGAAAGGGGAATAGTTTTGGGAAGATTACTAGTGAAAGATAGGTAAATAATGCCAATGCTTTGTGCCCACTTTTTATTTCTTTGATTTCTTACTACCTATAAAAGAGAGACTGATGTTCTTTTTATTTCCTTGCTTCACCAGTTACTACAGAGGAGGTAAAGTTGTGTATGCTGACAATGCTTACGTTGGTCTAGCTTTACCTGGAGAAACAGGGTCATGGCAAAAAGAAAGCAAGGTATATTTGGAATTGTTGTCACCGAAACTTATTTTATCTTGGTAAGGCATTCAAAATGTTTGAATTTGATGCTATTGACAGGGCTATCAGTTCTGGACTCAAGCTGATACAAAAGGTTTTTTCCTGATAAATAATATTGTGCCCGGTGACTATAATTTGTATGCATGGGTTCCTGGCTTCATTGGTGATTACAGATATAATGTTACAATCACCATCAAAAAGGGTAGAATTTTCTTCCCCAATTTTCTTGTGGCTTCAGGGCAAAATTAGTTATGAATCGCCCAACTGAACAATTACTTGTTTGAACCTCTAGGAGGAGTCATCACATTGGATTCACTTGTGTTTGTTCCACCAAGAAGCGGACCAACCTTGTGGGAAATTGGGTTCCCAGATCGCACGGCTGCAGAATTCTATATACCAGACCCTTACCCTACGCTCATGAATAAATTATACAACAAAAGGCCCAATGACAAGTAAACCAAAACCCATTATATCATTAATTAACAGTTCTTCTTCTGTTTCCCAGTCTTCAAATTTTTCACCTTTTTATTCATTAATGTATTGGGGTCTCCACTTTTTACAGGTTTAGGCAATATGGGTTGTGGGATCGTTACACTGATTTATATCCAAATGATGATCTTGTTTTCACTGTTGGTAAAAGCAAGTATGACAAGGATTGGTTTTTCGCTCACGTTTCAAGGTAACACACTCTTTTAAACACACTTCCTAGCACAAAATTATTAGATACATGAAATTTGATGATTTTACATCATATTTAACGAACCTAGATCCTAAATTTATTAATTGACAATCTTTGTTGGGTTTTGAATCTAAATTGCAATGTATGCAGAATCGCAGGAAACAAGACATTCCAGCCAACGACATGGCAGATTGTATTTGATCATCCAAATGAAGTAGAAAATGGAAACTACACATTGCAACTGGCATTGGCATGTACCAGTGATGCTAACCTGCAGGTACATGGTTTGAAATTTGACATATGGAAAGAGAATGAGTTAATGATTTTTAATGAGATGTGTTTCGTGGATGATGATGATGATGATGATGATATCAGATTCGTTTCAATGACGCTGGAGCAAAAAACCCAGACTTTGGAACTGGGAAAATCGGAGCAGATAGTGCGATAGCAAGGCATGGTGTGCATGGTTTGCATAGGCTATTCAGCATCGGTGTAAAAAGTAGTCGAATTGTGAAAGGAAAGAACACGATCTATTTGAAGCAGGCAAGAGCCAAGAATGCTTATCAAGGAGTAATGTATGATTATATCCGTTTAGAAGGACCTCCATCGACAGGGAAATGATTTTGTCCGACTGTCGTTCACCACAGGGTGAAAATAGCACTGTACATAGAATTTAGCCATTTGGTTGTCTTCTTTCATCTTTACAGCCACTTTTGGATCTGGGGACTCCTCCACCACATACCCCTAGAAGTATAAAACCAAAAGTAAAATTAAAGATGATAAACCTCCTAGGATAAAACAAGAAGATTTCTCAATTAAATACATATAATTCACTGTACCTTTTTGGTTATACCTAAATAATAATGAAATATCAATTAACAAGCAATAAAATTGATATTAATAAATGTTGTATTATTATTATACTTTAAAAGTTGAATTATCGGTTTAATATAATTATAATTGATGTACTTTGTTTTTAGTACAATAAGGACAAGAAAAGAACAACAGTCTTTTTGTTCTTTTACTTTTGTTTTAACTCTATTAACGGAGAAGGTAATTCAATATATTTTATCTTTAGTAATTGTCGCATATTTTAATTAATTGATAATTTAACTTTAATATATACAATTAATTTTACAGAAAACAATTAAGGATTTTCAATTTATACAGAAAAATAATAAAGGTTATAAAAAACTACCTTTAATGGTATATTAATGTTATTTTTCTCTATACTAAACACACAAGAAAAGAGGGTTGAATTTTGTTTTTTTGCAATGTATCGTCTGATATATAATCAAACGATGGTTTTAGGTTGACAGACCAGCTAAAACTTATAAAAGTTCGTTTGTACATTTTTCATTATTTCTTTAATGGGTACAATAATATGCAATATGAACATATAAATCAGTGCAATTTTATTTAAGTGCGGGTTTTGAATTAAAAGTAGATTAAATAGAAATGAATAAGATTAATAGCTTAATATTTTGGATAAAATCGTAAAAAAATGTATAGAACATTTTAACAAAAATAATAATTATACAATGTAAATCTAAGTTACTAAAACCTCTTAATTAGATGTTTTTGTTTCCAATATTATATAACCACTCTTTCTAATCTATGTTGAAATTCATAATTTTAATTTTGAATTTAAATAAATTTATGTCTAAGTGATTTTGGAACGAGATTTTATGATTGTCATATGTTAAAAGTAGAGCTGTCAAAATGGATTACAACCCGTGGGCCAATACGGCTCCCCACGGCATTGATCCGGGTCGAGTTTGAAAAAATTGTATTTTTTTATGCGGGTTAGATTTCAATCCGGCTCATGCGGGTTGAACCTGTGGTGGGTCGGGTTAACCCACCAACTCACCTACCTATTTTTATTTTATTAAAATTTAATTTTAATTTTATAAAAAAATATTTATTATTTTGTTTTTGCTTGAAAAAATTATTTAAGTTCCTTATTTTCAAAATTAATTAAACACCCATGTTTGGGAGTGAAATTTGTTTAGATTTAAATTATAGAAAGTTTGTAATTTTTTTTTATTTTAAAAAAATTTGTAATTAAGTAAGCCCGTGAGTCAACACGTTTACCCACCAACCCTTGGTGGGTCGGATCGGGTTCGAATTTTTCTTGCTCGCTAATAAATGAGCCGAGTTGGATTGTCTCACTAAGTGATCAATCCGTGATGAGCCTGGCCGAATTAGGCTGTATGACCCGTTTTAACAACTCTAATTAAAAGATATATTTGTTCCTTTCAATAATTGGGAGGTTTGAATGATGATAACATGTTTGCATTAGCATAGAATTTTCTAAATTTATAATTTGGAAATTGCACGCTGATTATTTGAATATTGTCTAAGGATATAATTATGATAAGCTTTATATCCTCTTTTGAGTATGAGAAATATAAATACAGAATAATTACGTTCATAGAGTTGAAAAAAAAAAACAGACACATTAATTAGACTTATTTCTTGGGCCAAAGGAATATAATTATAGACGTATATCTCCAACATGGTATTACGTAAAACGTATCGTGCATATGATGCATGCCATATGCAGCTTTTCTATGTAAGTATTCTTATACACAGTGTGTGTGGGTCTTTCATTTTCTGGATATGTGTTACTCTTTGTACCTTCTATTAATGCAATTAGGAGAAACGACAGTGGTTCTTTTCGTTCATAGACAGCGGTCCCTGAATCGAGACATATCTAGTCGAGACAAAAAGGGATAGCCTTTTTGCCTCGGTTCTGAATCGAGGCATAAAAGTATTCCTATATTTTAAAAAAAAATCTACATTTCTCTTTTTTTTTCTTTAATGGATTTCAAAATTTGTTGAAGAAAAATTCTTTTAACGGATTTCAAAATTTGTTGAAGAAATTTTTCTTCAATGGAAGATTTCGATATCTGTTGAAGAAATTTTTTTCTTAAACAAATTTCGAAATCCATTGAAAGATTTTTCAAAAATTTCAACAGATTTCGAAATCCGTTGATGAAGGATATTTTTGAAATGTGGGGTGTAGGGAGAAAGGTGAGAAGGTGCAGGGAATAACACTTCTGAATATACTTTTCCTTTACCTTTTCTATCTCTTCTTCCTTCTCTTACATGTTATCTAGAGCCAATTTTTGGCAAGATGACTTCCCCGAATCTACCAACACTTGTATTTACATTGCTTTCTTTTCCTCACACCTTCAACACTCCAATCATGTTAAAGCTTGATGAAGATAATATGGCAAGAACAAGTTCTCGCTACCTTACGAGGTTTAAATCTTCAACATATCTAGGACTATGCATCTTCTCCTGCCAATCCCTCTATGATCACACTGATACAACCACACTTCCTCAACATGATCGATGACATTATCTAATCATGGCTTGGTTGCTAGCTTCAATGACAACCCTATTCTTCTTCTTGTACCACTATCGGGCTCAATTCTTTTTAAATCCTAGTACTCAGACGTCAAGGTTCCCTTGTTTTGGAATCAACCGATTAGGTTTAAGTTGATAGAGGAGAACTTGCTGAGTGTTGAGGAGAAATAAGGGGTGGCGCTTCGTAGCCAACATCCTCAACTACTCAACTATGGGGAAATGCTTCGTGGCACCGTTGCCAATGGTAGGCGAAGGCCCCTCTCACGATGGTTAGATGCAAAGCAGGTTGTTGCCCCCAAGTCCAAGGCATCTTCTTGGGCTTTTGTACAGAGGAGACAGGTTTTCCGGGTGGAACATGCGTTTGCTGGAATCTACAAAAGGTATTTCTTATTGAAAAACTTGAAAATACAAGATACACACACAAAACTCTTCACTCCTTTTCTCACAACACTCTCAAAAGCTCACAAACAACACTCATGGTGTGCAGTTCTGCACACAACAATAACCCTTATCTCTTAATATTTCTCGATGGCACCCTCCCCGCCCCTTTTCCCTCTTATTTTTCTCCTTTCACGCTACACACTTTATAGCTCTCTATTTCACATATGTGGTTCTCGGTGGTTCATGTTTGCTTTCTTCACTTGGTGATTTATAACAAAAAACTTCCCTTATCTCTATCAAGCCATCACCCCTATCTCTGGAAAGCCATCACACCACAACTTATCAACATCACTCCATCACTTTAAACCACGTATCAAAGTCATGCAAGTTACAAGACATGTCCAATTATGTGGGATCCATTCAATGTTTATCTCACAAAACTCCTTCATAAACTTAAACAAATCTTTTACTCTTCATTCCTATATCCCGATATGCATAATCCCACACCAAGTTTGTTTCTTTAATTAATAATTAGGTTCTTCTCTTTCTTTGTGGCCAACTTCTTCTTTTCTTTTTTACATTAGTTGTCTTCTTAAGCTGACTTCTTCATGACCATGACCAACTTTTGAATTACTGAGTTCCTCTTTATATCTATATTTTCATGTTATTCATTTGTCGAGATCTTCCTCATGTCAGTGACGAGCATGTGGGTCAAATTCATAATCTTCGATCACAACATATAGCGTTCCTTTGTCATTTCTTCTACTTGCTTTGTTGTCTCCTTCTTCTTACTAACGACATCATCTTGTAGCCAGTCAAACTCATCATGATTCGTTATAGCCTCATGAGTCAACATCTTTAATCAGTTCAACAACACCTGCAATTCTGACATTGCATTTTTCATGGCAACACGCGCTTGAAATCAAATGGTTGACGCTGAATGGCCAAATCGAAATGTAGAGAGTAAAATTCAACAAAAAAATCAAGGTCAAGAGGTTGAGGTCGAATGGTTGGAGTCGGATGGCCGATTCGAATGGTTGAGGCCAAAGGGTCGAGCCAAATGGTTGAAGTCAAATGGCCAAAACAAAATGTCAAGATTGAAAAGTCAAAAAGAGAAATCGAGGCCCATAGGTTAAGGCAGAATGGTTGAGGTTGAATGGTTGAGTTGAATGATTGAAGCTAAATGGCCGAACCAAAATGTCAAGACTAAAAATTTGATAGAAAAATCGAGGTCGAGAGGTTGAGGTCGAATGGTTGAGACCAAATGATTGACCCGAAAGGTTGAGACCGAATGGTTGAGGCCAAATGGCTGAACATGATGAAGTGGCTAAACTAGCCGAGGCGAAGTGGCTAAACAGGACAACTGGTTTAGGCCTACTGGTCAAGCCGAGCTATCAAGATTAAAATTAAAAGTCCAAAAAAATTAAGGCCGAGAGGTTGAGTTTGAATGGCTGAAGTCAAATCGCCAAGCTAAATGGTTGAGGCAGAATGCTCGAGATGAACGGTTGAAACTAAACGATTGAGACTAAATGGCCTAATCGAAATATTAAGACTAAAAAGTCAATAGAGAAATCAAGTTTGAGAGGTTGAGATTGAATGGCCGAGTCAAATGGTTAAAGCCAAATGGATAATGTTGAATGGTTGAGGTCAAATGGTTGAAGAGGCCAACTAATTGAGGCCAATTAGCCGAGGCCGAGTGGCTGAACAGGTTGACTGGTTGAGGTTGACTGCCCGAGCCGATTTACCGATACTAAAAAATTGATAGTAATTGAGGCCGAGGGTTGAAGCCAATTGGTCGAGGCCGACTAGTTGAACAAGCCAACTGGTTGAAGCTGACTGGCCGAGCCGAGCGAATGAGGCCAACTAGCCGAGGTGAGTGGCCAACCACAGAGGTAGAAATTGATTACCTCTTTTACCACAACATTGCTCATTATGTTCCTTGCAGTGACTATGGTAGTAGACAAGTGGCCAATTAGTCCCACGGTGGGCGTCAAAATATTTCTACAAGGGCTAGACAAGTGCTCTCAACTCCCAAATAGCTTGTCATGAACCGCTCCTAACTCTTGTCCATTTAAATTCAGTAGGTGACCAATCACAAGGATATTAAATTCAGTCATGTATGTACAGTCATATCTTATACATTTATTTATAGTAGTTGTTATGAGATTTTACCTTTTTACTAGTCTGATCATAACCCAATCATATCTTAATCAACATTAGTTGATTGATTCATAATTATCATTAGTTAAGTGTTAATTTGACCTTTACTCTATAATTAGTCGATCTACATGTAGGTTCGAATAATCAGCCTGATGGTATATTAATCGGTTTGCTAATCGATTTGGGTTCGATCAATATGGTCAACCATAATAATTGATTAAAAGGTAATTGACTCAAAAATAATCAACTAGAATTATCAATCCAAAAATATATTTATAAATTTATCAATTAACCTGATTTATTGACTAAAAGACTAAATATCCATCACGAAAAAAAAAAATAAATGATAAAATAATAAATAAGTTTCTTATAAGTAAATAATTTTAAATTATATTATATTAATATTATTATTCTATTAAAAAAAGAATATATTTTTAAAAATATCAACGTTATTTTCTTTTGGATATCCTATATATATATATATTTATTTGATATCCAAAATTATATATATATATATATATATATATATATATATATATATATATATAAAGATAAAAAATTATTTAAAATGAATCACATTTTCAATATCTTATTAAATATATATTGGAAAATTTTTCAATACATAAAAAAAATACCAAAAATAGAGAAATCAAATTAATACATTCATATATTAAGTAGGCAATTAAAAGAAATTAATTAATTATAATAAGAATGACAAGTTAGTTTAATGGTATTAGTAAATTCGACACAGTTGGCGTTATTAGTTATTTCTACGTTGATCACATCACTACTAGTATTTTAACTAACTATCCAATAATATCTTAAGTTTGAAAATTACCAAAGGTATAGTTAATTATTTGTATCCTGTTGAATGCAACTACTCATGAACAAATAAAACGCAAATTTGTTAAATCTTAAAAAACCAAAGCAAAGTTTGGCCAAGGGTGTGGTGAAGATATAATATTATATAAAATAAAATAATAATAGCCAGATTTGGATACTGGTTATAATGTTGTAAGTATTGAACCTATATTGATATTTTAATGTTTATAAATTTTGAAGTACATTTTAAATTTTGATTTTGATATGATATATTTTGTTAAATTTAATAATAAGCTAGATAAAATTATAGTCTATTATAAAGAAATTACTAATATCATAAGTGAATTTTTTTTTAGATACATTTATTTTATTTATAAAAAAAATTAAATTGATCACATATAATCTGAATAATCCAATCAATTTAATCCCGAACGGTTAGTCTAATCCGATAAATTAAATAATAAAATATTAAGTTTCTATTATATTGAATTACTTATATTAGATTCGAATCTGACTCAATCAACCAATATTCGGGCCTAAATGCAATACAATTTGAATTTATCTGTTTTATTATCTTATTTCTACAAGATTATAATTTTTAATAAATTACCGAGTTATTACTGATGAAAATACATTGAGAAAGATAACTGTTTAATTAATTATTATCTTCAAATTTATATGATAAATATATTTAGTGGGAAAGAAAATCTTAACTTATCTCTACTATACAGTATATATTTCCAACGCTAGTCCAACTTTTTACATAGTTCTTTCTTTAACAAATTGGAGCATCTTACGACTAGGTTGAATTGAAAGGTTTGCTTGAACATCCAGATATCAAGATAAAAATTATGGTTTTCACTAAGAAAACTGGTTTTCTCCTATTAGGGGGAATAATACACTTCTGCCTCTTACTCATTCGCTGTGCCTCAAGGTTTTTCTCTTACTGTAATTTTTTTTCTTAACCCAATAATCTCTATGTTTCTTTGTCTTTCCTCGTGTACATTCAATTTAAAAAAATAATTATTAACATGTTTTTCAATAAAAATTTACCATCTCTTCTTCAATAAGATTTTTTTCATATCTTAAACAAAAATTTATATATAATTTTATATTAATAATATATAAAATTTTATTTATATTTATTTATTTCTTTTCATCACATCCTATAATCTCACGTTGATTAGGAGTAGACGTCTGAAATAGTTTAAATATTTCTTCATCTTAATAATATTTTTTTTTGACAAAATTGAGACGGACAAAAGACAATACCTTTAATACATGATTTGTTGATTCTTACTATGTCACTTTTTGGAATCCAAATAATATAAAAATTGACATAAAATATAAGTTGTAAATAATTATAATTACTTTTATTTTGTATAATTTTAATATATCGTTATCAATTATGCAATTGATTCTTTTTTGGAATAACCTTACACATACAAAATAATCATAACTTATTGTTCACTCAACGTTATATTTCCAATTGCAGGAGTTTAAGTGAGTTCAAAGGTTCTGACGTAGCCTTTAATAATCCTGAAGTCAAATTGCATATAGAAAACAAGCAGGTATTAAATATCCAATTTTAACATGAACTGTAACCAAATGAGGCAACTTTCATTAATTTATCTTATGCCCTCAGATCACAGTGCAAAATGGCATCATTCGTGTAACTTTCTCAAATCCGGAGGGCACTATCCTTGGAATTTCATATAATGGAATAAAAAATGTGCTTGAAGGTCGCAATAACTTCAACAACAGAGGGTACGTATATACCTATGGCGTCTTTAACTTATATTCAATAACTCCTTTTTTATCTCATCCCTTTTCAAACAAATTAAAAAGTTTAGCTTTTCAAAAACCAAACAAAGAATCATAGGAAGCTATTATTAAAGTCCTCGTCTTTGCAGGTATTTTGACATTGTCTGGAATTCACCTGGAGCCCCTTCAAAACTTTGGGGGTAAGCCTTTTTCCATATTCATATCTATAAAAAAAAAGATTATAAATGTATGGGTTCATGATGTCATCATAGATTTGATAATAACATAATGAATCATGAAATTTAAGCATATATGTTGGATCCGCAGAATTGAAGGGAGTAGATTTTCAGTTATAGAGGCCAACAAGAATGAAGTAGAACTTTCGTTTTCCAGAACGTGGAACAAGGACAACTCAAGTCCTCCCTTAAACATAGACAAAAGGTAGTTTTTTTTAGGTCATGCTCAACTACATGTATATTTTAAAAAGTAATTTAATACATGACCAACAATTTATGAAATGGTGGAATTTTGCAGATATATTTTACGAAGAGGTAGTTCAGGATTATACATATATGGTATATTTGAGCATCCTGAAGATTTTCCTGCAACGGAGATTGATCACATTAGGATTGTTTTCAAGCTGCAGAAGGAGAGGTAAGTTGAAAAGCAGTGCCACAAACGTATAATTTTATGAGTGTTGTTTGTAATCATAATCTTAAAATGTCCAAAACAGTGACCAATAGTAAAATGTGACCTGCACAGGTTCCACTACATGGCTATAGCAGATGATAGGCAGCGAGTCATGCCAACAGCAGAAGATAGATCTACAGGGCAACGCCTTGATTATGATGAAGCTGCTCTAATCACCAATCCTAGTAACCCTCAGCTTCAAGGAGAGGTACTCCTCTCTACTTTTTTCAGAAAATCTTTTCATATTTTTTATAGAAAAAATAACCTTTTAAAGGTGATATTGTGTGTGATTATTTTGTTGTGGGATTGGACTATATGATCAGGTTGATGACAAATATCAATACTCTTGTGAGAACAAAGACAACAAAGTTCATGGGTGGATTAACTTGGACTTCAAGAACAATAAGTCAGTGGGCTTTTGGATGATCACACCAAGTAATGAGTTTCGTAGTGGTGGCCCAATTAGGCAAGGCCTTACTTCTCATGTTGGCCCTGTCACTCTTAATGTAAGTTCAGAACTTCTCATCATCATCATCATCATTATAATAGCTTCATATATAATTTGATGATTTTATTTATGTCTAGATACTCCATACCACTCACTACTCTGGGAAGGAAGTAACCATGACATTACACGAAGGAGAACCCTTCAAGAAAGTATATGGTCCCGTTTTTGCTTATCTTAACTCAGTTTCAAGGGTTCATCATTCAGAACAAGTCCTCTGGAGTGATGCCGTACAACAGGTACCACAACTAACAACCTTCAATACCACATTAAAAATGTTCTTATATCAGACTTTAATGTGATTGATGATTTTTTTTTCATTCACGTAGCTATCAAAGGAAATCAATAGATGGCCTTATGATTTCCCTAAATCAGAGGATTTTGTCCCTACAAATAAAAGGGGAAGAGTGGAAGGACAATTACTCGTCCAAGACAGGTACATACATGTTCATCAAATAATATTTCATCTTATAATATTTTTCTGATACGAAATATTAATGTTGCTTGCCTTTACCACCAGACACATTAAAGGAGGCACATTTTTATATGGCGAAAATGCCCATATTGGTTTGGCACTTCCCGGAGACGTGGGATCATGGCAGAGACAAAGCAAGGTATTTATTTATAGTTTCCATTACGTTCCAATCACGGAATAGAAAATAAAAACTAGCCAATGAAACACTAAAAAACGTGTTCCTTTTACTTTACCATTTCTTTCAGGGTTACCAATTCTGGACTCATGCTGCTAAACTTGGCCACTTCGCTATAGCAAATATTGTACCAGGGGACTACAATTTATATGCATGGATTCCTGGAGTTTTTGGAGACTATAAATATAACACTACCATAACCATAACACCAGGTACGTAATTTTCCACGAATTTCATCTATGATTATTGTGTGACAGATTATTGTCACTAACATGTTTGCACTGTGTATTGTAGGATGTATCATCCAATTGGGTTCACTCATATACAATCCTCCAAGAACTGGACCAACCTTATGGGAAATTGGCATCCCAGATCGCTCTGCTGCAGAGTTCCACGTTCCAAATCCTTATCCTAACCTCATAAACCGATTATACATAGCAAAACCATTGCACAAGTTAGTTCATAACTCAATCAGCAACTGCTTAAGCTTTTCGCCTGCATCCCATTTTCAGTTTCTCTTACGTTAATTTTCCCACTGACAGGTTTAGACAATATGGATTATGGAAGCGTTACAACGAGTTATATCCAAATGAGGACCTCACTTACACTGTTGGCGTGAGTGATTATAGTAAAGATTGGTTTTATGCTCAAGTTCCCAGGTGATTAATGTAGTTAATTTTATTGATCTAAAAACTATATATAGCTATTATTGTTGAGATTTGATTTATAATTTAAAATCCAAATGCAGGAACATTGGAAACAACTCATATCATCCAACAGTATGGGAGATTAAATTTCATCTCCCATTTGTTATGAGAGGCATCTACACACTGCGACTTGCTTTGGCCTCAGCTACACGTTCTAACTTGATGGTAAGTTGAGATATGAGTGTGTTTATAAATTATATGTAGTTGTTGGGTCTGGTATGAGCTATAATTTCACGAACATTACGTCATGTGTTAATAGGTTAGGTTCAACAACCCTGTGGCTCGTCCTCCACATTTTTCTACGGGATTAATAGGTCAAGATAATGCAATAGCAAGACATGGCATCCATGGATTGTATTGGCCTTATAGTATTGAAGTAGGAAGCAATGTATTGGTGGAAGGAAGCAACACCATCTATCTTAGACAAACAAAAGGTATGAGTCCTTTTCAAGGCATTATGTATGACTACATCCGTTTTGAAAGACCAGAAGCATAGAAGGACTTAATGGAGCCGAAGATCTAGTTAAGCTCAATTCAATCATTGATTTATTATTAAAACACACAAACTGTCTTTTCTTGAACCCTAGACCAAAAAGGTATTGCTATAAAGCACCCCATTCGACTAGAGTAGGGACCTAGTATAGCATGTGTGTATTTATTATATGAGTCTGTATAAGCTTACTTAACAAAGGTGGTTTTAATATAATCAGCATATTTTAGCTTTTCTTTATGTGTTTGTATAATCTGTTCATTTTAAAATCTGTATTTTTTTTTTACTTATTTCAATGTGAAAATATAATCTACTCTTAAATATATGATTATTTTTAAAACACTTATTTCAAGTTTAACCAAACTGTGTTATCATTTTGTTTTGAGTTTAACCAAACTGTGTTACCATTTTGTTTTGAGTTTAACCAAACTAGATCAATATGTCTTGTATATATTAGTTTTTCTTATAAATATATTATGGAACTTATTAGAAATTATTGATTTTATTTTCGTGATGAACACACTAAGGACATTATAAAAAATAGTTTTATTAACATTTTGAATATGTAAAGATGAAACTTATGTTTTTATTGTGAATATATAAAAAGTGTTTATATGTATTGTTAATAAAAGTTTGAGAGATTAGATTGTTAAAAATATAGACCGACATTGTTTAGGAACAAAATAAAATCTAAAATTCCCTTAAGTTAAAAAAGATATAATTGTAATTCTGATAAAAAAAAGTTTTCTTAAAATAAATTTACATACTTTTATGATAATAAACTAATAAATTTTATTACATCAACTTATAAGATAAAATTTGAAATTATCAAAATAAAAGATAATTTAAAATAATTCACATTAATGATAAGATAATACGTAAGATATGAATCATAATCTGTCTAAAATAATTGGTATTATACATCGATTTTATTTATGTACAATTTTATATAAAAATATTAATAAATTGAATATACTATTATAATAATGAATTAAACAAATTAATGTCACCATGTTAACACTTTTTATGGAGAATTTTCACCTCACTAACATTATTTTAAATAAATTGTTCATCGGTCAATCAAATGTTAATTATTGCACTTGTTTTCTATAAATGAAATGGAAATATTTTGGTTGGACAAAATCTTACATTTTTCTATTGAAATTATTTCTCTCTCATGCATTTCACTGCATATGATAATGCTTTTATTGGATTTCTTCCTCCCATCCTTATAACGATCAAAACTTTAGATTTTTTCATTTGCGGAACCAACTTTCTTGTTTGGTCCTATCTCCTTATAGTTTGAAAAGGAGGAAATTCAAACTCTTTGAGTTTTCAAAATCTTATATTCCATGAAAAATCAATTAATTTATTATTTTAATTGTTTCTTTTTCAAAAAGCATATGAAATTATTGTATTTGCAAATTTTATTAACAGCTGAATTTATTTAATTATAATATTTTATATTAATTTTTTAAATTGAAATATAAAAATTATAATTATAAACCAAATAAAAGTTATTGACTGAAAAGATAAGGTTAATTTAGACTATCTTAATACTTATAAGCACGTTTTTTAAAATTAAATTAAGTTTAATTTTTTAACTTGAGTTAGAGTTTATCTGATAAAATTTGTATTTGTTGAATATATTTATCAAGTTTTTATTGAATTATCTATTAATATTTTACATAAGAAATATATTATAAATTGAATTAATCGCTTTTTCTTTTAACAGTTATATAATTATAGTTATTCAATTATATGTATTTGTTGTTCTTATGATATTTATAAATTTTGTAAATGTTAAGGATTCATTTGTAGTTTATTTTTTATAATAACATGGAATACTGTAGCACATCAGAATATTTATTTTTTCTTGAAAACCAAATTTCCATGTTTTTCGCATATTTAGCGATGAACACGCACAGTTTAATTTTGATGTGGATTCAACAATATCAAACGTCACACAAAAAGTTGGAATTTGACTCCTTAAGGATCGAATTTTGACCTCCAATAGTGAATATTTTAATCAAGATCCATCAGACAAATGAAAAAAAAAGAAATATATCAAATCCTGCAAAAATTGAATTCTAAGAAACTTTCATAACTAATGATAAAAAAATAGACTGAAAATTCGATTTTTGAAAAGTGAAATTCTGACCCCTAAATGTTATTCTGAAAAATAAATTTGCAATGAGTTAATTTGAAATTTTTTTATTAAAGCAATATTAATGGTGGAAAAAATATCTGAATGTGTGGCGCTGTCATTGCTTTTAGTGGGTGATGTTGAATCTTCGAATTGTGAAACCATGTGTCAGACAAAAGAAGGAAATCTTGTGTTGTATAATTTTTCTGGTTGATGATAACTGTGAGTTTCTCTTTTGTTTGATAACTGTCCCTGCTATTCAGCCAATTTGTGATGTCATTTTCTCTATTTAAGGGTTCCTTTCATGTAATAATTTTTTAGATATTTCTTCCATTTCCTTGGATGGAGATCATCGGGCATAGGATCCCTTGAAAGTCTTTGACAATTACAGATTGTAACTGATAATTTACAAAGTAAATGCAAAGAATAGATATTAGATCACATAATTAAAAATGACAAAAATAACTATCTGTATTCATAGATAAAATTTATAACTATTACTCGTAGACATTCATTATTTATGGATAAAAAATAGTGAATATTTTAATATTTACCTATAGGGTAGAGTATCATATTATTCATATCAATATATATTTATTAATTACAAAAAAATTAAAATAAAAATTTAATTTATATTTTATTAAATTTAATTTAATTAAAATTAAAATTAATTTATATTTTATTAAGTTAAATTTAATTAAAATTAAATTTATATTTGTATTTAATTTATATTATATTTTATTTTATTTTAAGAATTTATAAAATATATTTTTTAAAATATCAGCGATATACACGAGTAATTACAAATTTTAAAATATCCATAAATACTTTTAAATGAATATTTAAGGAATAATAAAACATGGATGAATTTTCTTTTACCATTAGATAATGTTTCAGTATGGATGTGGAAACCGAGATACGAACCTAACAAACCTCAGCTGCTCCTTCCTGTGATGCCGCTACTGTGATATCTCCCTTCCTGCGCTATGCTTTCTGATGGGAAAATGGGCTGGGTACCTGCAAAGGCACTCCGACGCTCAAGTCAAAAAGGGATTTATTGAGTCTTTTCAGTTCAAGGTGGCCAAGAAGAAGAATAATTTTTCTCTCTTAATTTCTCTAAAGGGAAAAAACGTACCTTTTTTCTGGTGTGCTTTGTGTATTTAAAACAGTAACACAAACGTTTACCTGAAAGTTCGGGTGGTTACCGAAGTTGACTATCTGAAAGTTATAACCGCTAGATCGTGCTTGATACTGGGTCAGTTATTCCCGTGATTTATGGCATTGACCGATATTCGTAATTGGTAACCTCTAACTGCTACGCCGTTTAAGTTTAAGATATCGCTCATTATACGTCGAGCGTCTTGTATTGATGTAACTATGCGAACTGTCGTGCGAGCACTTTATCACCACATCACTGTTTAGTTGTCGATCATCAAGTGGTCGACATCCAACTCTAAAATGATACGAACGTAAGAAAGCCCAGTGAATGGTCGGTTAAGTTATGTGTCGATCGTTTTAGTCGACTACATTACTGTCTAATTGTCGATCACCAAGTAGTCGACATCAAACTGTAAGTGATACGAACATAAGAAGGCCTAGTGGACGGTCGGTTGGGTTATTTGTTGCCGTTCAGTGGACTCAGATATCCTACGGTACAGATAACAAATAAGTATTATCCGACCTGAATCATTATTATTCTACATATAACATATGCTATCATAGTTTAATTTGCAAAATAATCAGATGAAAAAAAGAAGCTAATCTTTATTACAATTTAAGACTATGATGCCTCCAAAATTATATCTCAGGTTTTCATTCAGGTCACATACTTCTTTATTAGGTCATTATATTTATAAAAATATATTGATGTGATATCCCAAAATTTCAATCATAAATATGTATATTGGTATATTTAGTTAATGAGTTTCTTATATATTTTAAAAGATTTAGTTGATTGATTTCATTGTAATTCAATCAATTGTGAATATAATCTAAACTAAATTAATTAACGTAAGTTTTAGTTTCATATGTAATTAAATATGCTATTAATTTATAATTAATTATGTGTAAGTATAACTATCTTTTATTGAAATCATTAATTATATATAAATTAAATTATAATATTTTATTCTTTTATTCAAAGGAATAAGTTGCATGAAAACTATAGCGGTTAAAAAGGGTCATCTGGTCCAGTCCACCATTGATTGGTCACTAGGCTTTGTTCACTTGAATGGATTTGGGGGAGACTGATTTGAATGGATTTGAGAGGATTTAAAAATAAATTTTCTTGTTGTTTATTTGAGTGGATTTGGAGGTAGGTCAGAGTGGATTTAGAAGCAACGTTTGTGATAGATAAATTAGTGGTAGGATTTGATTGATGTGATAGATAAAATTTACTTCCAAATCCACTCTGACCTACCTCCAAAAAATCCCTCAAATAAACAACAAAAAAGTTTATCTACAGATCCTCTCAAATCCACTCAATCATTCTCCCCCAAATCCATTCAAGTGAACAAAGGGTTAATGACCAATCCAACACGGCTTTTTATTAGCGAGCCAAAAAATTCGAATCTGGTTCGGCTCACCACGGTTTGTGAGTTAAACGGGTTGACTCATTGACTTATTTATAATTACAGTTTTTAAAAAAAAGTTACAATTTTTTAATTGAATTTGAATAAATTTCACTCTAACTAATCTTAAACTCCAAAGACAATTCAAAAATAAAAAAGTAACATATAACTTAAATGTATCCAAAACAAACTCAAGAAAGTAAATAAATAAGTTTATAATATTTGATAATTTTTGTGTCACTTATCCATTTATAAGATTAGAGTATTGAATGCATAAATTTATAATATTTTATTTTCTTGA